ACCACGACACAGATATAACATGTCTTTAATCACAATATAGAGATTAAACTTGTTTACATCCTTTTAAGTGAAGGTTACATCAAACAGCTCTGGTGAGCTGTAGAGGAACAGACAGTTCTGAAACAGTATAATCTTGTCTGCCACTCCTATGATGCACTTTTGGCCCCTCATGTTGTGGCAGATGGCTTTCCACCAATGAGTCTGGTTCTACTTGAGGTTTTTGAATCTTTAAAAGGAAAGTTGTTCCTGCCACCGCTGCCATGTGCTGGCTCATTATGGATTAAAGTAAGGTCTCCCTAAATAATAAAACAAAGAGTACAGTCTAGACTTGCTCTGTATGTACAGTTTCATGAGATCACTTGATAGTTTGGTATTAATTTGGTGCCATGAAGATAAAGTTTCATCAATTCATTAAAATCGTATTCATTTGTAGGATAATGTTTGGGCATAGCAGCATTTGAAATTTGAAATTGGCACGCAGAGTGGAGGGCAGAAAATGCACTGCTCCTTCAATTCAATAAAAAAAAAACAAATCATCATCATTCCCATGAAGACAACCTCCACCCTCGTTTGTTCATGCCATTGCTCTTATGTTGCATACCGGCTAAAATGTGTTGGCACTTGTGTCTCGCCATGAACTTTGTGTGACAGAGAAAGAAATGCAAACCAGTTACCTCCACTCTTGCCATGGCAACGGACGCGACAAGAAAAGCGATCCTGTACCTGTGTATCTGTCTCCCTAATGGTCTGTGTGTTGGTGTAACAAGATCTGTAAAAACTCCCCTCAATGACATTTTAGATCCCCCACTGTAACTGACCTGGGCTGGGGAGTCACAAGTAGGATTTAGGTGAGTACTCAGGCTTCTCTCAGGTTTACTGTTCCCCTTTTCCTAATGAATTCAACCAGAAGAAGACTTGAGATGAGGCCCCCTTTTTCCATACGGGGAGGATATTATTTACCATTTTTTTAGCTGCATTTGCAAAGTCTCTTAATGCAAAAATAACACCCCACACTGTATTTCTGTATAAAACTTCAATCTCGTCCTTATTTTTGATAGCACACACCAAATGAGCATCTCAGAAGTATTTACCTTTTCTATAACGGAAGAAAAGCTCTCACTGAGAGGGCTGTGGGGTGACGACTGAAGCATTCTTGCACCTTCCAGCCTCTCCGTCGGACTGCACCACTCGGACCACTCCTAACTCTCCTATTCCCTCTGCTGGGAAAGGCAGATATTACACACCCTAACCTTAGTAGAACACCACAACACTACAGTAATTACTTTTTGTGTTTATCAATCAGCTTGCTTTGCTTCTGGGATGGCCCGGTTTAGGTGAGAGCCTAGAACGCTGACGCTCCTCTGTATGAAATATCAATGGGGATGACTCACTCCCTGAGTTTGGTGTCAATCATCATTGCAAAATGCCAACCCCATTATCGCCCAAATCTTTTCAAGAAGTTGTTTTGTCCATCTGCTAGCAGGAGCAGCGCAGAGAGGAGGCATTTGGAGCTTTTTGGAGAAGCTTGTTTTCCCTCAGGGTGATGGAACTCATTTTTTCTTTTTTTCTTTTAATTAACCTTGTAAACATACAACTCTGTAGTATGGGTTGCAATAACTAAATTTTTCATTAATTTGGTGTGTGTGGATATGTGTGTGTGAGTGTGTAAACTGCTCATACTGGACCTCAGAAAGATGGAAAGTGTTTGTGCAGCAGTGATAGAAATATGAATAAACACTGATTTTTTTCCCCCCAATTTCCAACCTCTAAGAATATCAAGCATAGTCTGAGAGTCTGTTAGATCATTGTGTTATGATTAAGCTTTACCTTTTGTTTTTTTGACCACAGACACTTCAAGATGTGACAAAATATTTGTGTGACTTGCTGCAAACACTCCTTGTCTCCTGGTTGCTTGTGTCGACTGGGTAAAAGCCAGCCTACTTTGCTGTTTGTGTTTTTGTTTTCCTTTTCCTTTTTTTTGTATGGAATAGCACAACAGGCAAGTTCATTATGCGTGTGACTCATCCCACTAGCCCACACCCCCTCCCCATCTGCTGCTGTGCGCTGGAAAGGAGAGGGAACCGCCATTGATCACTTCTTCCCTCACACATGCACGCACACACCCCACCTTCAACGTCACTATCGATTGACATGTAGAATGTTTTTTTTTTTTTTTTTTTGGGTGGGAAATAGCTGGCATTTCCTTTTTGTGTCATTTTACATTTCTTCCCGACCATTCGCTGAAATGGAAGGAATAAAAAGTCAAACATAATACAACTAAATCAAACAATCTCAGACTGTGCTGTCAGAGCAGGGCTGGGATTTTTTTCCTTTTGTGCTTTTTTTTTTTTAATCCGTAGCAGTCAGGAAATATATAAGTTAATATGTCTGGACAGGAGGTGTTTTTTTTTGTGGTTGGATACAGCAGAGTTGAAAGTAACCTGACAAACAGAGCAAAGATGTTATGGCAGCTATTTGACATTTCCTTGATAAAACATTTTCCCTCTCCCTTTTTTCTCAACATATATTTTAATAAATGGTGCTTTTAACACATAACATTTTTATAAAAAAACATATTCTGTTGTAAAATGAAACTAGTATCGCCTATAATAACATGTTAATTCATTAGAACAAAGTGAATGCAAAATAAAGGAAACCTATCCAGATTTTTAACATGATTGTTTTACAGCAGAGTTCTCTCTCTCTCTCTCGTTCATCCTTTTAAGACATATCCCATCATATATTTTGCATCTGTACAAATAAATGATCGTATTGCTTTTAGAAGTAACTTGAGGGTTGCATCGATACTACTACATCAAGAAATTATACAAAATAACACAACAATAAGGTCTTCCCACCAAAAGCTTTACAGCTGGCACGTAGCGTGCAGTATCTTCACAGAATTTGAAGATGCATATAATCAAGGTGATAACCTGCTGCCCTTGAAATACATCCATCAGGATATATGTGATTGAGCTCTGTCTGTGATTAGTTGATCAGTCACTTCATGGGCTGACAGTTTGTATCGACATACTGTAGGTAGTATGTGTTGGTGGTTTCTCATGGTGATTGGGTTGGCAGTTCCACTGTGGCATGATCTCTTCATTGTTTCTATAAAACCTTTATCCAATGGATACATTTGTCTAATGAGATATGAAAGATGTTCTGGTATGTCAGGGTTTATATAAATCCTTACCGTGATTTTTAATGCTGTCAACACTGAAGACACCTTTTTTTTTTCTCTACTGAGAAACGGTATTGATTAGATCCACTCGACGTCTGTCTTGAAGCAGGCAGGTGAGCTGAGATGGCAACCGCAAGTGATAGAAAATCACCGCATGTGTAGAGCTGACGGTCCATAAAGATGCTTCACCAATCTTCTTTCTTTCTTTCTTTTTTGCAAATGAAAAAAAAAAGAATATGCACATTTTATATAATAGATTTTTGGCTAAGCAAAACATCATATTTTATGAGGACACTATTGTAATACAGCATCTAACATTGGACTGTGACTGTCACCATAGGAACCGTTGTTAACCCTCTAACCATAGTATCATGCACTTGCTTTAACTTAAGCACTACACCAATGATCAACATGTATACTCTTTTGTTATATATATATATATATATATATATATATATATATATATATATATATATAGTGTAATGTATCAGCCACATGACTTTATTCTGCTGCCTGCCTACCATCAACACCTAAACATTGGCTTGATTTACATTGAGCCACAGTCTCTTTGGCTGAGTTTGCGTGCATGTTTATTGGCTTTTCAGTAGATTTTTTTTTTATAGTGAGTCCTAAGTCAGATACATAGCATACAATTCATTTACAATACAATTAACTGTTTCCTAGTTTTTCCAAAATTATAACCAGGACAGTTCCAAATAGACAGTGAGCTTTAAAATGTCTACTAACAAATATGTCCAGTTTGAAACCCTGGAGGGAATCAGAGCTTTGTTCCTGAAAACAGCCGAGTATGACAAAGGAGGGAGTCAACAAAAGTTCAGTCAAGTTTTTGGCCTTAAAAAATATATATCAATGAGCTCATGAACCAAACTTTTGAGAAGCAAAGAAAGTCATTTAACTGAGGGGAACTGCAAAGTTTAGTGGTACATCTCTTTGTTTGTGAATAAAAGCAACACCCTTTACATTACAGGAGGTAGACATTTGACAAGAACAATATTACATTTTAAGAAATCTAACCTTACTGTGTGCCTTTTAGAAAGAATGCATATAATAATTTATTGATCCCGCAAGGGGAAATGAGTTTTTACACGCTACACACACATGCACAAAGAGGATCTTATGGACATGCACTAATGGAGAGGTCTCTGAGTGAGGGGGCTGCTCACAGTGGGCGCTCCTGGGCTGGTGGGGGGGGGGGTTAGGTGCCTTGCTCAAGGGCATCTCGGCAGTGTTCAGGAAGTGGACTGCCCTCTCCAGCTATCAGACCAATTTCCGGACTTGGTCCGTGTCGGGATTTGAACTGGCAACCCTCCGATTCTCAACCCAAGTCCCTACAGACTGAGCTACTGCAGCTACTACTAATAGCGATTAGACTCAATATTTTCAAAGTAGTTGTGTTCATATTTGATCAGAAACCAACATGGCACGAGAGTAGACAATGTTTTTATCATTACTGTGGACGTAGAGAATCCAGGGAATAAACATAATCAGGATTAGAACTTGATATTGTGCAAAGAACACACAAGAACATTGACGGAGTCTACCTTTAACTCACTGACATTTAAGACATTTTCAATCAATTACAGCTTTTATTTTGACATTAAGTCAAAAATTAAGGTTGATTCATTTTTACATCTTTTTTAAACTCCACTTCAGAGTAACATTTGTTTCTGCCCCACTGAGACTTAAACACTTGAATGACGAATTAACGAAGCCAAGATAGGAGGATGATGAATAATAGTGTCTATGGACTCCTGCTGTGAGAACAATGTGTTGTTTTCTGCTTTCTCGCATGTAGGTGGTCCTGGACATGACATTTGGAGGTGGTGGTCATACCAAAGCGATTCTGAATTTGGTTCCTGAAGTCACCGTCCTGGCTTTAGACCGGGATCCCACGGCCATTTCTCTGGCAGAGCAGCTAGCCAAGGAACACACGTAAGTGATTTATTGGAACATATCAACAAGACACAAACACAGGGCAAGGCTTATGTTTTATATAAGCTGTCTCTAGACAAATGTTTATACTATATCATGTTCTTGCAGTAAATTTTTATTGTCATAGCTGACAGCTTGACCTCTGTGAGCAGGGTTTGGTCTGTGGTCATTATTTCTTCAAACATACCGTAGGTGTGATATAGTATCACAGCTCTTCCTGTATTTCTTACTTCTTTCCTTAGCCCGATCAAAAACTGCTCACCAAGATACAGCCCCTGAGTTTCAGCACCCAATCAAATCCAGTCCTCCTTCTTAACTTAAAGCTTTTCTCCCCCCCACGCAAAGCTGGTGGGCCCCAGCATGTCATTTGTCAGAGTAAGGGCCCACGCCTGCAGTGTGAGGGAGATGCTGCCTCCCACAGAGGATCTATAAGATATGAGGAGGAGGGGGGCTGGAAGAGAAAAGCCCAGAGAAGTTTAGAAGGAGAGTGAGAGAGAGAGAGAGAAGAAAAAATGAAAACATGAGAGAGAGCGAGCGAGCGAGCAGGGAGACACGAGGACACAATGCCAGGGTGAGCATGAGCAAGGCGCGGGAGGATGAAAATGAGATGTTCCTAAGACCATGGCGTGGGAAGGAATCCTTTTACGTAGATTCTGGGGAAACCTCTCTCAAGGGAATCTGCCAGAGAAATGTGCCTGTGAGCAGGGACTGACAATTAAGAGAAAGAGAGAGAGAATAAGAACACTGTATTCTGTCAGCAGCAATATACCCCTGCTGTAAACTCTTCCACGCCCACTCCTGATGCAAGTTGAGAGAAGCCAGAGAAATCTAGCAATTAACCAATATTATTGGAAGCCTGAGTAAAAGACCCAGGCAGCCCACGCAGAGCATCCGCTCAACAGGGTGAGAGGATTTTCTTTCTCCCCTGCACTCCCTGGTCTTCAGAGAAAGTAAACTGTTGAGTGTTGTTGTGGATCTGAACCCGGTTTTAATGATATAAAAAAAAAAAAAATTAACCTCTGAACATTTATTTGAAAGCTTTCTTTCTTTCTTTCTTCCCTGGGTGATATTCAGTCTTTAATAGGATTTGTCTCCTGCATGTTGAGCCTATCTGCTCTCTGCTTTTCACCATCCTTGTTGTTGCTATGACTTCCCCGCAGCGCCACGGTAGTTGTGCCCACAATAAAGTTAATAATGTGAAAAGGCAGCAAACATCAGTGAAAAGTCAAGTCAGGTAAACAGTGGATATAGTTGTGTGCATGCACACATGCTGATATGATTTGAGATAGGATACCTGTTGTGCAATATTCACATAGTTGATTTTACCACAGTGTTTAAAAGGGCCATGTTGGGTCAAACATCAGGAGAGTAAGATGTGGAAAGCTGAATATGTTTTAACGGAAAAACTAAAAAGTTTGATAAATTTAAAAAGGGCAATAGAGTTGCACGGTGGGATAGTTGTTGGCGCTGTTGCCTCACAGCAGGAAGGTTCCTGGTTCGAATCCCTGGTGCACCCCCCCCCCCCCGTTTCTGTCTTGGGTTTGAATGTTCTCCCTGTGCATGCTTGGGTTCTCTCTGGGCTCTCTGGCTTCTTCTTACCGTTCAAAGACATGCCTGTTAGGGTCACTTTAAATTACACATAAGTGTGAGTGTGAATGTCTCTATGAGTCAGCCCTGTGATTGACTGCTGACCTGTTCAGGGTGTACCCCGCCGCTCGCCTTCAGCTGGGATCCACGCCAGCCCCCGTGACACTGAATGGGATATGCGGTATAGATAAAGGATGGATGGATTAAAAGGGCAATGATTTGGGTACTTTGCAAACACAATAACATGCTATTCTGTCTAAATCCCCATTCCTGATGATTTTCAAATTTGACCTTTTTTCTGGAAGAGGCTTTCTTTTTTGTTTAGCTTTTCCATCCCATCGACTCTAATTTTAGTATGTACAGTAGCTGCTTTAGTGGGAACTAGACGCTGCTTAGTATGTTTGTTATATTGAAGAAATGTGCTTTTATTGAAAAAATAAAATACAGCTGGTTTGAATGATGCATGTTCTCATCTGAAGTTGTTGCTGTCTGTCGTTAGTATTTTTGATGTACCTAGTTGGGAATTAGAGCCAAACACTAAAGCCTTCCTTAAAGGTGCTGCTGTTTAAGATACTAGGAAAATGAATTCTTCGTAAATACATGAGAAGCACACGGCCAAAGTTGGTAAGAAATTAGTTCAAATCCTGCCAGTTCTGAATAGTCAACTTTTTCTAAAGGCCATTTAAATAGTGAAAGCAACCTTTAAGTAATTTATTTTGTTGAAGTTGTCAGGGTCAAACTTAGGACTGGGATACCAATACAACCCCATGAAGGGCTAAATAAGGACTGTGTTCTCCCTCTGAGTGTGTACTGTGACTGAGAGAGGAATGATATTTTAATAATGTCAACAACCTGATTAATGTTTTATATCTTTCTAAATCTACACGTAACACTGAGCTCATCAGCACAGTTAGCTTCTAGTTGCATAAGTGCATGCTTTCCTACAATATCTCCCTTAATGTAGAATTATGTGGTTGGATAATTTGTTGATGACAAAACACAGCCAGTTTTTTTTATTGTTTAGCGCAACAAAAGTCTGACGTTCACTCTATTCTAACAACATGATTAATAACCTCAATCAATCAATCAACTACACATCATAGGCAATATCCACGGTAACCAAGATTTCCATATTTGGAAACTTGCTCATACGGGATGAAACATTCTGTATCTCTTCAGAAACCAGCCTTTGAACCAGGAAGTAAATGTGTTAAAGTGAAGGAACAGCAGGGAAGCATTTAGCAGTTATTGATGACATTTCAAGGAGACGATGGCAGGGCTATCAACAAAATAGCAGCTGTGTAGTCACAAATTCACAAATTACCTGTAGCTTTATAGTAAATAAATCTGTCCCTGGGAGGTTTTGACAACCTCCTCTAGATCAGTTTAGGCAGCAGAATTGATATATTTAAGAAATCTCATATTTAAAGATCAGCCTGTGTTTGTTTGTCGGTTCTGCATTTGTAGCCTCTTTCTCTGTCTTCTTTTTTGGACTGTAGATATTTTCATCACTGCTCCCCTGCTGAAAGCAATCAATCAGCATCTTGTCTAAGGCTTCAGTGACGCAGGTAAAGGAACTGAGCGGGTCAACACGAGGGAATATTTCAGGTTTGATTTGTGAAAAGGCAGCATCGTGTTGAACGGGCGTGCGCTCAAAGCGGTGCTGCTGTGAAGGTTCCTGATGTCCTCTCTGACTGTACTCTTAGCCTAAGATGGATAAGAACGAGTGAATGCAGGGAAAAACTGAATGACGGGAGGGTTTATGAGGATTTGTGGTAGATAAATATTATTATATACATATTTTTATGTAAAAAATATATTTATAGGGCTTATTGAAAAGCAGTTAAAAAACAAAAAGCAATAGAGTCTAAAGGAAGGCCACCTTTTGAGATATGAAAGAAGCAGTGTATGAAAATTACAGTAAGTTACCTTGTACTATTGTTTTTTTTTGTCATAGCTTTAATTCATTTATTTTATTTAATCATGGAAACCACTTCAACATTTAAGGCTTTATATGAGATTTTTCACTCTTAAATGTAATTGAAATCAAGTATATCCTCTGAAAATAACTCTGTGAGTCATGACTGTCTACAATGGGTGTAACACCCGAGTCCCGCTGTCTGTGATGCTTTCCGAGTTTTCCCGAGTCCTGTCTTCAGTTTGTTTACATCGCCCGGATGGCCGGCTCACGTATTAAAGTTGTTTAATTGAGGGACTAGAGAAAAGCACGTAACATAACCTACTGTATTCACTGCTTAACTGCGTTTCTGCAGTGTGAAGATACGAGCATGATAAAGATCGCTAGCATTAGCATGCTAACACAACGATGCAGCTCGAGTTGTTTTGGTTTCATGCTGGTGCTCAAGGGCGACATCTGCTGGATCAAAAAATCGCATATTAAGCCTTTAAAACGTATTTCTTTGTGTCATTGGTCAAGACAGGCAACCACACAGTTAACACATTTTCTGAACAACAATGAGCAGCCATACATACAAATATCATACAAGATACGGATGGCTGTGGCTCAGTTGGTAGTTGTTGTGTCTCAACCGGCAGGTTGAGGGTCCGATCCCCAGCTCCTGCAGTAACATGTCCGATGTGTCCTTGGGAAGACACTTAACCCCGAATTGCTCCTGCTGCTTCGTCTGCGACATATGAATGTACATGAATGGAATTAGCTACTTGTGATGGTCTCACTACACAACAACCACTGCCATCATCATATGAATGGTTGTGAATGGGTGGGTGTGACAATGTAAAAGCATTTTGAGTAGTCAGAAGACTAGAAAAGCGCTATACAAGCTCAAGTCCATTTACCATACATGACTGTAAACATTAAGAGACAGAAGATCGCTCACATTCAGATATGTATCAGGCAGAACATCATAGACTTGTAGATAAGAATACGCCAGTGTTTGCTTTGTCTAAATGAGGACGAAGAAGAACATCCAACATGTACAGCCAGAAAAAAGGGGTGAGGGAGGGCTTTACAATTGGAGTTGAACCTCTAAGCTCCATGAAATGCAGTGTCCAGAGCATGTCCACTTTGAGAAGAGGCGAGCATATTTTAAACGTCATTGTTGTCCAAAACAACCTTAGATGTGGCAGCAACCAGTCTCTATAAAGACCGAAAAGAAAGGCAGGATTTAAATCTGCGATAAAAACCTAAAATACCTTATTGTTTTACAAGGACAGAACTACAGATTAACCCCCAGTATTACTTGTTTTGAGAATGTATTTATATCATTTAAACCAGGTTTGATTTAAAAAAACAAATGTTTTAGCATAGTGAGCCTTTAACGAACATTTCACAACATTTACATGTTTTCACTGGACCTCACTGGCGATGTTCTTCACAACTTACTCCTCTATCAATTAAACAGAATTTTAAATTCAGACTAGTCAACTTAAAG